TAAAATTTTTTAAATTCATGCTACATGTCAAGATCTAAAGTTTCAAAGAATAAAAATACTTTTTTTACGTTAAAAAATAATAAAAAATACTATTGTCCGTAAAAATCTGATAGAGAAATAGTATTTTACTAATCTTATTTTTAAAAATTATATTATTTAGATAAAAAAAAAAAAGAAGCTTACTATATCATGTAAAGGTTAGTTGGTTAAAGCAATTTACTGGATGATGGCGGAGGAGCTAGTTACTTTAGATAGATTTTGTCATGTAGTTTAATTCTCGTCGTTTTTCTTTTCTTTTGTTATATATAATGTAAAAGTTATTATATACTAATATTATATCAAAATTAATCTTAAAATTTATTTTATAAAATAAATTACTAAATTTAATTTGAATTAATTTGAACTTAAAAAATAAAATACTTTACATGATTTTTTATAAAAAAAATAATTACAACAATTTTTGTCTTATTTTAAAAAATATATTTAATATTATTATATATTATCATGATAAAACTCTAATTTTAATTAATAAACAATGTCATTATGTAAATAATTGTATTTAATTTTTGTTCTTTTACATAAAATAATTTTTAAGACTAAATTTAAGTAAAAATAATAACTTTCTTTTAAAAAGATGATATTATTTATAATCAATAAGTATAATATCTTTTTCAATAAAAATTATAAATAAATAAATAGCAACGTCTTGCATAGAAGTAAAGGCTGGGGGAGTGAATAATTTTGAAGGGTGGAAGGGCATAATAGTAATTCGGTACCTGACAACTGTTTGAAAAGGAAAGGTTGGACTTTGCGCTTTGCAGCTGGTAACTCGTAATAACAAGAGGAGAGAAGAAACATCCTTTTACTTTGATTCTAACCTCTCTCTTTTTTTTTTTTGTGTGTGTGGTGTAGTATTTATATAAAAGATAATTCTACAGCTTATGTAACTTGTTCTCACATCTTTCTTTTCAAGAACCATACTCTTTTAAATTACATCTTTTATTACAAGCTTAATTTTAATATGATTAAAATTTAATTTAATTATATTACAAGAATAATTTTTAAAATTAGTTTAATATGATAATTTATGATTAAATTATAGTTAGTATATTTTACTTAAACTATTTATTGTTAATTAAATTTGTTAGGAGACCTGAAAAATAAGATAGATCTGACATTATTAAATTTTAATTAGTGATATACCAAAGCAATGTATCATTAAATATTCTACTTTGTTTTTACACAACACACATTCTACCCACTCTCTCTGTACTGACAATATCACATGCACATGCAGACAGCTACACACCCACATATCTTCATTCCACATGGATGATGGACTTGAGAGATTTAGAGCCTACGTGACATCTGACCCACGCAAACATTTCTCACTCTCTTCCTCCTCACAATAACTTGAACAATTTCATAAAAAACATAAAATAAAGGAAACCTCTCTGCCAGCTCTAACCAGATTGTTGTTGCATTATCATACAAAAATAAATAATAAATAAAATTACCCTTTTCTCTTCTCTCTCTTCTTTCATTGACACACTTTGCTGTTTCCATTGGCATTAGTTTCAGTTTTGGTTTAAGCAAACCATTGTCCCTCTGCTTATTTTGTGGCCTTGTAAGAGGGTGTTAGGTCCCGTCTCTCTCTTTATCTGCATTATTTGTGGCTATTGTCATATTGTCTGGTTTGATTTTTCAAACCCAACAAGGTTTTCTTTCAACCAAGGATGCCAATTCATTAACTTTTCTGGGATTTAAGGTATTCTTTTTCATCCTGCAGTTTTTCTTGGCATTTGCAAGTGCTGAGGAAGTTAAGGGAAAATCTGAGACAACCAAAAATTGGACTTTTAGCTTCATTCAGATAAAGTTTTCACTTTTCGGGTTTGTGAGAACTCAAATCTATATAATTTGATGCAATTCGCTGGAGGGTATTTTTTGTAATTTATCAAGAAGTTGTTTTTTTGCAACTGTTAAAACACCTTTCTGAATGCTTGGGACTACAGAGCTGTGGAAACTGTTTCATTCTTTTTTCAGTTATCAGGGTTAAGACAGCACAAATTGAGGCCTGCACTAAGATTAAACGGTGAAGGGAGAAAAAGGAGGTTCATTTACTTATCTTTATTCACAACGGATTTTGATTTGATATGGAGATGATATCTCTGTGTGAGCTCTGTGAAGTTCTGGATTCTGTATTGTTGCGTTGGTAGTAAAATCATGATCATTTCCCAGAAAGGGTGTGGACTTTGCAATATTGTGTGAGTAGATTTAAGGGTAACTAATCATACAGCTTTTTGAAGAGGGTGCAATTGATTGATTGTGGTGGTTGGTGTGTTTGAGTTTAATTGGAGAAGAAAGGTTGATATGGCAGCAAAACTCCTGCATTCTTTAGCAGATGACAACCCAGATCTGCAGAAGCAGATAGGATGTATGACTGGGATTTTCCAACTCTTTGATCGGCACCATATTCTCACGGCTCGCCGCATTAACCAGAAGAGGCTTCCTTCTGGTATTTCCCTACCTAGGAACACGTTCAATTTTAGTAATTCAATTTGCACGAATGTGATTTATCTATCTCTTTTCTTTTATCATTTTTGGTCAATCTCTGAAATGATTTATCATTTAAACTGTTGAGTTTACTGATACTTCTGATTACTAACTGATTTATCACATGGATGCCATTCTCATATCAGTCATAGTTGCATTTGCATATTCTTAGATAAATTTTTTCAAATAAGAGTTAGCTTTTGAGTGTGTAAAGGATATTTAAGGTCTTCATGGGTTTAGAAAGGGGGGAGGGGGGATGTTCTGCATTTTTCTTTCTTTCAATTTCAGTATTAAGTAGTACTCAAATTTGCACTGTATTCAATAACAGTATAAGGTGTGGATAAGATGCTTCTGATAATTTATTTAAAGAGATTTTAGTTTTCTTACTGTTTGTTCCCAATCTCAATTTCATTCGAGTATTAGCTTAGTTTCGTCTAATACTTCTGTTTTCCTCAGGTACTTCGCACTTCAGTGATGGCAGCTTAGAAAGAGATTCGGATACCATACACCATCCCCAGGCTGCTACTGTAAGAGCCTTCTTTTTACCCTCATTTGAAAAAAAAAAATTGTACTGTTTTTCAGTTGAAAAATGTTTGAATTTGGATATGAATTGAGGAATGAATGTTTTGTTAATTGTTACCATATGGAGGATGCATTTGCTGATCCTGTGATATATTATTCTTCACTTACGAGAGAATTTGACTGCCATCTATAGGAGACAAAGAAGATTGAAAATGTTTTTGAGCTTCCTGAGAATCATTTTCATGATTTAACCATCTCCTGAAATTCTGCACAGTCATGTGAATTCAGCACATATATTTCTGAAAAAGTTTCATTTATTGATACTTTCTATTTGTAACTATCATACTATTATGCAATATGGAAAATATGGAAAATACTATCATTTATTTGTAACTATCATACAATCATGCAATATGGAAAATACTGCACACAAAAATGGGCTCATACTGCTTAGTGAATTAATTGCAGGATACTACTAGCTTAAACAAGGGTGTGAACGAAAGGCAAAGAATTTCAACAGAATCATCAAGAGCATCGTTCTCTTCGTGTTCATCATCAGTGTCCTCTCTGGACTGTAAGGCTGAAGCAGAGGCTGCAATGGACAGGATTGTTTTTCCTGAAACTCCTTCAAGGGATACAGTTACGAACCAACCAACCATCTCTCCCCATTTAGGACGTCACTCCCTTGACCTGAGGGATGTAGTGAAGGACTCTATGTATAGAGACGCTCGAGGACTGTCAGTGAAGACTACAGGCAGAGAGGAATCTGCCATTCATGCCATGAAACACAAGGATTCCCCGCGACCTATTCAGCTGTCCAAAACAGTTGATGGATCTTATGGAGTTGGAATAGATGGAAAACAAAGTGTGTCGATTGATCTAAAGGAATCTATCCGGGTCCTTGCTAAACTTAGAGAAGCACCTTGGTATTATGAAACCAAAGAACATCCAAGATCATCATATGAAGTAAAAGATGGACACTGGCATTCCCTCCCAAAGGAAGCTCCTTGGTTTGCTTATGAAGGAAAAGAAATAAGCCGTTTATCTTTTGAATCACGAGATACCATAAAATCCACACCAAAGCTGAAAGAGCTTCCTAGGCTTTCACTGGATAGTAAGGAAGGTTCATTGCGCTCAAGAAACATTTATGGTGGCACCTCTGCCTCCACCTCAAATGACAAATTCTCTAGCCCACATCAGTCTTCAGCAACCCCAAGTCGTCCACCTAGTGTTGTGGCAAAATTAATGGGCTTGGAAGCATTACCAGAGTCCTCTTTGGCTGGTGAAACTCAATCATGTTCAACTGAAACTTACTCAGTTCAAAGTAATGGTCAGTTTCCTTCCAAAAATGGACTCACCCGGCCACTCCGAGTTTCTGGTTCTCCAAAAATCTCACTGAAAGACCCAACTTCTCCTCGGAGAAAGAATCCTGATCTGGTTATGAAACCCATTTCAAGTTCAAGGTTCCCCATTGAACCAGCGCCGTGGAAGCAGCAGGATGGGGGAAACCGAAACTCACAAAAATCAAGTTTAAGGCCCACAAAAGTTCCAGCAAGGGCACCGGACTCATTTCCCTCAGTTTATAGTGAGATAGAGAAGAGATTGAAGGATCTCGAATTCAAACAATCTGGAAGGGATCTCAGAGCACTAAAACAGATACTGGAAGCAATGCAAGAAAAGGGGCTCTTGGAGAGCAGAAAAGAAGAACAAGCTCCAAATATTGTTGCAAGTCAAAGTGACTATGAACCAAAAGTTACCAATCTAATTCAGAATACCAGGTCAGTAAGGCAACAAAATCATCAGAGAAACAATTTTCTATCTTCCACGCTCAAGGGATCTGACTCAGATGGGGCTTTTGAATCCCCAATAGTGATAATGAAACCTGCAAAACTTATTGAGAAGACCGTGATTTGTTCTTCTCCAGTCATTCCAATTGGTGGCTTTTCTGGATCCCATAAACACCAAAATGGTGCTGTATATGTAGATAATAAGAACAGTATATCTACTCGAGTAGCGAAAGATCAGTCCCCTAGAAACATTCACCGGGATGCTTCTGCGAGTTCCACTGATAAGAAAGCAAGTGGTAGTAAGACTACAAGATCAGTACACTCTCAGTCTAGGTCTCAACAATTTCCCAAAGAAAATAGCCAAAGTTCAGTGAAGCACTCAGGATCTGTGAGCCCAAGATTGCATCCCAAGAAATTGGAGTTAGAGAAGCGGTCTCGTCCACCTGCCCCCCCATCAGATTCTAATAAACCCAGAAGGCAATCTGGTAAGAAGGTAACAGAATCAGGTTCACCAGGTGGAAAACTAAGACCCAAAACCCCCAACTTGCAGCATAGTGATGAACTATTGAGTGAGATGAGCAATGAATCAAGAAGTTTAAGCTGCCATGGGGATGAAGTTTCTCTGCAATCAGACAGTTTCTCTGTCAACTCAAAGATGGATGTGGAAGTCACTAGTAGTTTACAATCTGCTGAAATTGATAACAGCCAAAGCCCATCCTTAAAGGCTATGAAGCAAATGGTTTCAGAAACAGTCCAGAAAGTATGAGTCATTTTCAGCTCTTGATAACAAAGCTTTCTATTTAAAACAATCTGATAAAATCTTACATTTTGGCAAATAACATATTCCTTTTGTTTGCTAATAAAATGTATATTGTGCCTAATGTTCCAGAAATCAGCTTCAAGATTGGACGAGGATGAAACAACTGCAGAACTTGCAACAAATGCCCCAGAACATCCTAGTCCTATCTCAGTTCTTGATGGTTCAGTCTACAGAGATGAGATGCCATCCCCAGTAAAGCAGATATCTGAAGATCCAAAAGGTATAGTTTCTGTTTTCTCATGAAGGATAAAAGACCTGATCCAGATTGTCTATAATGGCCATAGTCCAAAAAAACTGTAGGATAAATTCAAGCATCATTATTGTTTCAGCATCAGGATCTATCATAATTTTATAAATAAAGAAAAATCTATGATTTTTTCTTTTTAAAATGTTTCCTCAAGTAAGAGATTGAAATTTTTTCTAAATGAGGGACTGACAAGTGATAACAATTTCAGAATTTCAGTTGATCAAGCTTGCATTGGCACTTGGCATCAAAATAAATGTATGATTTGTCCTGTCGATGCTAGATATGATGCTATCTATTGGACCAGAATTTTTGGTTTTATGCAAACCTTAAATGATATTTGATGTGTATGCAAGTCAAGCATTAATCACTGTCAAAGACAATAATGGTGTTGGTACCAGCTAGAAGAAAAAACATATATTACACAATAATTTAAATTGTTATGGGCCTTGGCACTGACAAACCTTAGGCTTTGTACATTCTTCCCTGCTTAATCTGTTTGTCCAGAAATTTGGTCTGAAGATTCGTCAATAGATCTTGCTTGTAGATGTCATATGATTGTTCAAAAATATGTGAATTTCTTCACCTATCTCATTATAAGATCAAATTCTGCAGGTGATGATACTCAAGAATCTAAAGAAAATGATATTAATGATCAGTGGAACGCTGCAGATAGCCTTACATATAACAGCACAGGAACTGGAGAGATCAATCGCAAAAAGTTACAGAGCATAGATCACCTTGTTCAGAAGCTTAGACGGCTGAACTCCAGTCACGATGAAGCTAGAATCGATTACATTGCTTCCCTATGCGAAAACACAAATCCAGACCACAGATACATCTCTGAGATATTATTAGCTTCAGGTCTCCTACTAAGAGATCTGAGTTCCGAATTGCTATCATTTCAAATTCACTCGTCGGGTTATCCCATTAACCCGGAGTTATTCCTTGTCTTGGAACAGACCAAGGCAAGTAGTTTACTTTCAAAGGAAGAAACCAGCCCTGGAAAAGTTGCATACTTGAAGCTAAATAAAGAAAAATTTCACAGGAAACTCATCTTTGATGCTGTGAATGAGATTCTTGGTGCAAAATTAGGCTCCTCCCTGGAGCCGTGGTTTCAGCCTAACAATAACAGACTCACAAAGAAACCCCTCAGTGCTCAAAAGCTTCTCAAAGAACTATGCTTTGAGATAGAGAAAATTCAAGCCAAGAAGCCAGAATGCTGCTTAGATAACGAAGATGATGGTCTGAAAAATATGCTGTGGGAAGATGTTACGCATGGCTCCGAAAGTTGGACAGATTTTCAAGGTGATTTACCTGCGGTTGTGTTGGATATTGAGAGACTCATATTTAAGGACTTGGTCGATGAGATTGTGATTGGCGAATCAGCTGGTTTGCGAGTCAAGTCATCAGTTAGGCGCAGGAAGCTATTTGGAAAGTAGTTTGTTGTTCAATTCTTCCCATTCTCACTTATATTAGAGATTCTTATAATTTGCATACACATTTTTCTTATGTCAAGCCATATAAATTTGCTCACTAGAGCTTTGATAATTTTGTTTTTTGGGTAAGCTGTAAAGAAATTTAAGTTGCCATGGATTTATGGCTATATACTACATAAAAACCAAAAGTTCCTTATATGATACATCTTTATCTTTCACTATTCACCCATATTATTTTTGAGCCATGGCTTCCCTCAATTCCTTCAACTTTCATGCCATGAATGCGTCACGACTTGAGAGTTGTCCACCTCATGGAAGCTAGAGAAAACAATTGGACAATGATATATGTATACTCAAATTCGGAATCATTGGCTCATTAAGGGTGATTTTAGTTTTTTAAGTTTTAAAAATTTTAAAAACTATAAAGAGCTTTCAGTTTTTATAGCTTTCATTTTAATTTTTTAGAGTTTTTAGTTTTCAAATTTTAATATCAAACATTAAATTTAAAACATGCAAATAACTCAATACATTTGAATTTATTTGTTGGGAATGAGGTGGCAACTAGTGGTAGTAATGACAACACTGGTGATAAATGGTTAAAATTATTATTGACAATCTAACTATGAATGTGATGATGATCATGATGATAGTATTAACATAGTAATTAATGATTATGGTGACAATAACAGCAAGGGTGATAATAAATGTAGTGATAATGCAATCATGTCAATGGATGATGGTAATAAAACAATGAGAGTACGTAATACTAATAACAATGATTATTAGTGGTAGTATGAACATCAATGATCGTAGTAATAATGATAGTAGTAAATAGTTAGGAAAAATGAGAAAAAATAATAAAAATTGTAGCAACATTGATGATGATGATGGCAATTAATAATAACAATGTTTATGGTAATATCAATAGTGAAGGTAATAGTAGTCATAATAATAATGGTCAATCTTAGTGGTGACATCTACAAAGATTCATTCACAATGATAATGGTAGAAATAACAATAGTGGTAGGTGGTTTGAAGGCTTGTGGGATAACAACAAAAGTAATGATAAATGACAGTGTCTATAATGGTGATAACAATGATTATAGTATTAATTACTAATAGTTGTGATAGTAACAATAACAAGAGTAGTAATAGTTGTGACAATAATACAATGATGGTGATATTGTTACTAATGAGAATGATCAGTCAGTAATGATAATAGTGACAACAATGAAATTAAGAGATAATAACAATGGTAGTAATGGTAACATATAAGTCTTTTATAAGAGAAAATGATAAATGACAGTGTCTATGATAATAATAACAATGGTTACAATGTTAATTAATGATAGTGATGGTTGCGATAGTAATAATAGCGAGAGTAATAGTAGTGGTGACAATAATGCAACGATGGTGATGTTACTAAAGAGGATGATCAATTAATAATGATAGTAATGACAACAATGGAATCAAGAGACGATAACAATGGTAGGAAGGGTAACATATAAGTTTTTTAGAAGAGAAAACAAAATCAAATGACTTATTTTTATAATTAAAATAACTTTATAAAACACAAGGTTAAATTAATTTTAAAATTAAGTTAAAACTTAATTCATGATCATTTTAACTAAAATGTGTTTTGTTTGAACTCTTTTTTTAAACACAAGAATATATAAACTTGTATCTATCCCAAATTGTTCCTAAGTTGAAACAAATTTCAACAAGTGAATATACATAATATATAATAAAATAAATTTTGATCATACAGTCATACATAAATATTTAAGATTGTTTTAACAAAATTTAATTGTTCATTTTAATTATATGACTAAGATTTTTTATTTTTATCACACATAAACAAACACATGAAAAAAAGTAAGTTGAATCTAGATTTATTAGGTACTTGTAAAATATCCTCATGGTAGCAAGAAAATTACTGAATAAAAAGGTCAAAATTTCCATCCCATCCTAAATCTATAAATAGTTTGACATATTAAATTTAAAATAAAAATTAATAGTTTTATTATTATAAATGGGTCAAGATTAAATAAAGATTGTCATATTTTACAAAATAACATATCTAATTAACTTTCTTTTATTGAAAGTGAATTTATCAATTCAACCAATTTAAAGTTTTTATAAAATAGATTGAGTATGTCAAAATTCACACAATTTAAATATTAATTGATACTTTATTGTCTTATTATATTTCAATAAATTATATATTATTTGAAATATCAGCAAATAACTTCTACTAAATTGTATTTCTATGAATGTTTGAATTAGGTAATGTTTTACATACATAATTTTTATGATCATATTACAACAATTAACAGTTAAAATGATAAAAGTAACTTTTTTAATAATTTTTTTATCATAAATTTTAATTATTTAGACTCTAAAGTCATTTTTTTATTTTAAAAAATGGTTTTCTTCTCACAAACCTATGCTACTTGTATTTTGTTTTTTACTTTAATTTTGATAGTTAAATAGTTTAAATAAGATACAAAGAAAAAAAAATATTGTCTTTAAACATAATAGATATTATATGAATTTCTTACGATACAATTATAGCTGACAAAATGGACTTGGTAATCCAAAAAAAAAAAAAAAATCGAATCAGATTCAAACTCGTAAAAATGGTGTTCGAGCTCACTAAGTTCAATATTTTTGAACTTTTTGTGGATTAAGCTTATCTCAAGGATAAAGTTAAAATACTCAAATTTAATACAGGCTAAAATCTTAAAACTCAAGCTATACATTTGATTGGATGAGTTTAGGTTAGCTTAATTGGATATACTCATTTTACCAACTTTAAATATAATAATATTCTAAATGAGAAAAGTCTAGAAAAGATAATCAACAAATATCAATATTGTTACTTTTATAAAAAGTGATATTAGTAGCTTAGATTTTAACAACCATAGGAAAAGAAGACTTCATGTGATTTTTTAATATGATGGGTTTTATTTGTAAAGTAAGTAAAGATATGTTAATTTTTATATTTTAATTTATTATAATTAAAAAATATTTAAAATAAATTAATAACAAATGCACATTTATTTTTATCTAGTTTTATAAGTCTTTAATTTTATACAACACAACCTTAAGGTGAAAAACACTGAAATGTATGAATAGTTCTTATCATTTTTGTAGGCAGCACGTGAGATTGAGCAATAAGGTATGTTAAGGAAGGACCTAACTGTGAGTCTGGGATTAATTTTCAAGTGAATAGCAATAAAAAGAATAAAAATCTTTTTGATGTTTATAAGGTTGGTATAAAGAAAACGATTAAAATTGACTAATTCTGCCTCCGTAGCATAGTGGTAGTGCGTTCGCTTCGTAAGCGAAAGGTCGCGAGTTCGATCCTCGCCGGGGGCTATGGCTGTGGGGATGCTTCAACAAATCGTCATTTTCTTCCAATGATCCTTTTTTTTTTATTATTATTATAATCGAAACAACTACAAGTACCAAACTTGCTGATTGGGCTGTCAAAAACAAAAATGTAGATTGGGCTTAGAGATTAAAACTTAGTCTTGAACGAACAAAAGAAAAAAGGTTGAATATCTTCTTTTGATGCAAAAGTAGATACGGCAAAATAAATATTTTAGCTAGAGTGACCTACTTTCCCATTCTTGTCAAGTTTTGGAGGATAAAAAACTATGCTCTGTAATATGAATGAACACACAAAATTGATATAATCTCTCTCGATGAAGTTCAAAAATAAATAAAGAGAATGAAAAATTGATATCATTAGAGATGAGCTGATATCAACTATCCAGGTTCACCATATTCTATTCTATTATTTTCTTCATTCACAAAATAAAAAAAAAAATAAAAGCTTAGGAAGCTTGATTACAGAATGCATTGTATTAGAATCTATAATTACTTACGAGAAGAATATTTGGATAATTAGAATTAGGTTATCATTATATTCTAGAATTTTCTTAGTAATTCCTGATAACTTTTTTCAATGATTAAATATAGCCTTAAATTGTTTATTTTTTATTTTGAATAAAATATTCAATATATGTAAGTTAGAATTAGATATTTTAGATATTTTAGATATTTTATTATACTTTTATATTTTTAAAGTGAAAATTCTTCAATAAAAAAGATTATTTTTAATATTTATCTTCAATATAAATAAAATATAATTTGTGATTTGGTTTTAAGAAAACGCGAAGAAGGTAAAGAAGATAAGAATTGGTCCATGCTCTCTAATGAATTGTACAACGTAAAATGTGTATTAATTGGACCACAAAGCCATTCAATTTTCTTTAGTAGGCATGACGTACGCACTCGTCTGCACGCCTACAAACCGCATGCACTCAAAAGCGATCTTTATTTTGCACTCATCAACCATAAATCGCTGAAAAATATAACTAAAATTAAAACAATGCTTAGCAGTGTAATAAATAATATAATATAATAAAAACTAAAGAAAACTTTGATAAAAATAAAAAAATTCAATAAATTGTTAAAGAAAATTGTGTGTTTTGAAGTCTTTTTAGATAAAGAAAAATTTGGTGGTACCTTTAAAAAATTTTCAAGGTACTACTGTACATAAAATTTTTTAATCAATAATATTTAGATACATATTTAAATAATAAATTTATTTTATAATAAATTATTATATTTATTATATTTGAATAAGTGAAAAGGTATTTAAATTTTTAAATAAGACCAAAATGTAATTAAAATTAAATAAATTAAAATTTAAAAATAAAATAATAATATTATATTAATATATTTTTTATATTCTTAAGTTTATTATTATTAATATTTAATTATTAAATTAATATATTATTATAATTTTTGTTATTTATAATAAATAAAAATTACTTAAATATGAACAAAATTAAAAATTTATTAAAAATAATAAATTTAATATAATATATATATATATATATATATATATAATATAATAGGATTATGCAATAAATAATATAATTTTAAAAAAATTATATATAATAATATTTTTTTAACTTACTATGTGTCTCTTTTTTATTGGTATAAATTTTTTAAGTATAGTACCCATAAAAAAAAATTGTAAAGGACCACAACACACCATATTTATGTACACTAATAAAAGCCTTACATTAAATTTTCCTATTAAAAAAAGTCATATACATATTGGATAGTTAAGCTAACATAAATATTGTCTACAAAAATTCAAGTATTATTATTATTATAAATATTAATCTATAGTCTAAATTAATAATAAATATATTACATTAATTTATAATTTTATTGATAAAGAAATTGAAATGTATTGTTTATACATAAAAAAAAATATCAGCATGCATGATATATTATAATATTTAATGTAGATCTATAATATTATTATTAATAGTTTATTTTTTGAAATAAAAATTATATTATATATTCGAGAGAATTTTAATGCCTTGTATTTTTTTTGTTAATAAATGTTAGTTTTTTAAAAGTAATTTGTTAGCAATTTTATTTACAGAGTGGTTTTGATAACACTTTTAGTTAAATGGTCATTAAAATAAATATAATAACCTTTTAAAGGCTAAAACAAAAGTTTTACAGTATTAAAGTTGAGTCATTTGCATGTTTACTTTAGCTTTTAAAATTTGTACTCCGAACCCTAACCTCTTTAAATTCTTTTCTAGTCACGACACTCTCGCTATAGCGAGATACTCTCGCTGCAACGACATGCCTTCTCGCTACAGCAAAAAAATCAGAGAAACTGTACTTTGATTTCTGCAGAATCTTGCTACAGACTACACTCAATCGCTCTGTCGCTACAGCGAGACGTCTCTCGCTACAACGAGAAGATGACAGTTCTGATCCTTTCTCCTAGGGCCCTCTCACTACAGCGAGAACAGCCTAGTGTTACGCTTTGCACTTAGGCATTTAGCCCATTTCAGTCTTATCTAATCATGCATATACACAATACACACATACATATACTTAATACACATAAACATTATTATCAAACAAATCAACACACGTATGAATATGTATGTAATTTCAACGTATAGTATTCTTGTGTACTCTGGACTAAGCTCATCAATATAATAGACTTTAAACATATCCCAATTTATGGGGATTAACTTTTACACCAGTCATTCTTGTTAGTAGTATTATTATTATTTTTTTAAATTCATGTTTTAGGAGGATATTTAATGTACTTCTAAAAATTAAATTTTAGAAATGATTAATGAATTATTTCCAGAAATCAAATTCTAAAACTAAAATTATATTTTTTATTTTAAATTTCATTGGTAAATTAATTTTAAAATTTAATTTTTAAAAGTAATTTTATCCTTTAAAAATAAAATTTTAGAAGTCATTTATATTAACTTCTATAATCTAATTTTTAAAATGTATTAAATTTACTTCCTAAAATTATTTTTAAAATAACATAAAAGTAGCACGAATAATATAAATAGCAATCTCCCTATCCAAGTATTAGACTCAACTCCTTAAGCCTTTCTTGTTATGTTTTTCAATTTCAACCCTTAAAAGTAAATTAATTTTAGCCCTTAAAAACTAAATTTAAGTTTCTAGAAACAATAAACTTATTAAAAAAATAATTATTTAATTAGGGATATACAAAATAATAAGTACTTTTTAATAAAAATTATTATTTAAAAGTATTTAGACTCAATTCTTAAAATTAAAATTGATAAAATTATTTTCTTATGGTGCCATTTTTGTTATCATTATTATATGTCCGGTGGATTGGGCATTACTTATTTTATCAGAAATTACATTATAATGTCACAAATTAACATTTAATTTTTAAAAGTTAGTTTAACAAATAATATGTAAACTAAAAATGTAAAATCTTATATATATTAATTTAAAGTTAGTTATAATAATAACATATTTAATTTAAATTAATAATATTTTCTTTTTTTACTTTACGCATATTTTCATGTTACAGAAACATTTTAGATAGCTATATAGTACTTTTATTTACTGAGCAATTCTTCAACTACCTCCGAGATGAGAAATGGTAACATCTTACAATCTGAATTTGCTCATCCATCATTTAATTCGTTTTAGAAACACAACCATACAGCAATACTAATATTTCAATTTGCTATATATTCAACTTTTATTTGAAGTCTGATTATTTTAATTAATCATGCAATTTATTGATTTTGCAAATTTTAGTTAGGGCATTGTTCTGGCATTCTTATAATTTGAAGGGTTTGGATATCCTCTTCGTATAATTACATAAATTAATATATTAATAATATTAAATATTATAATTTTAAAAAAATAGTATTTATTAATTTTCAATTTTTTTAAATATTAAATTATTGATATGCAATTAATTTCTTAAAATAAGTCAATTTAAACGTCTTCTAAATATTATAATTTTTTATTAAAAAATTAATTTTATCACATGAGAATATAAGAGATACTTCAATTTAAAAATTAGTAGTTTTCTGTACGCAAATCAAATTTTGAAATAAATAATTTTAAAAAAATTATAGGATTTTTTTTAAATATAATTATTTTTTACAAGTTTTAAAAAACAGTAAATGTTATAACTAATAATAATAATTTTTATATTAAATAAAATTTAAATTAATATGGAATAAATAAATAAATAATATAAAATTCAATTAACATAATAAAATAAAAAAATAAATTATATATCAAGATATAAAACTTTGCTTCGGGAATAAATATAGTAGTATACAAAGCGGATGCTGATCGATATAAGATTACTCTCATATACTGATATAAACAAACTCAAAATGTGTTGTGTTTAAACATGGACATAATTAATTAACCTTTTTACTGTAATAGAAATTAACTTAAGAAAAGAATGTACAGATACATTAAAATTTTAATTAAATATTGTAATGTGTACATGGACACTTTATCCATTTCAAAAACTGTTTAAAGTTTAATCTTATTTAATATAATAAAATGTTAATCTCTAGCTCTCACTGCGTCAACACCGACAATGGTTGTGTGGTCAAAAGTTTCATAACTGGCACATATTAAATTGTTACTTATAAATCTGATTTCTTTCTTTCACTCATTAATTGAAGGGTACGTAGTGAGGTCAGAAACTGCAAGTTTACAAGCTTCCATATAAATCAAGATGGGCTAATGTAGCATATACTGCTAACTACATAATGTAAACAAATAAATTTTTTTCCATAATCATGTACTGTCAAGTCCAAATTGTGACTATGTTTCAAAACCACAGAATAAGTAATTAGGACCACACATAGGCAAATATAAAACTTTTGGTCATTTTTCTTTGAAGCCAGTGGCCACCTCTAAAGGACCCTTTGAAAACCTAACTTGCTGCCACCACTGAGTCTCCCTTAATTTAATTTTTATCTTGGATCCTGTGATATATTATTGTCTACTACAGAGGCTGCTTTCAAATTCAGTCTCTGCCTGTGATTTTATGTTGCCTCCTTTTCATTGTCAGTAAGAACTGTAGTAGATTTGGAAACATTTTTCTCACTTTTTCACACCTTGTGTGGATGGATGCTTCCATGCCTTCATCAAGATGCTGTCAAATAGGGTACAAAGATGAAGATAGACACGAGACTCCTTGCCTACTATTTCACACACATCTATGTATATAAAGAGCTTTGGACTGTAGCATGCAACTTCGCAGCTTTTTTACTTTTTCTATTTTTCAAGAGAACATATATAATAGGTAATGCTTTTTTATCATCATTTGGTAATCACTTTCATTATTAATTTCAAAACAAAAAATTAATAACATATATAATACTATATATGTATAGTTATTATTTTACACTGTTAACTCTTAAGACTAAATTTAAATATTTAAAATAATAATTTTTTAATTTAAAGTATTTATCATTCCAAAATACTAAATGATAACCTTTTTTTTTTTCCTTTTTGATCAAGGGACATTTTGCGTTGGCAATGGCTTCTTTCTTTTTCCTTTTTCTTCTTGCTGTATATAGGGGCTCATGGTTAGTTGCATCTCCAAGCCTTGCCTTTGTTGAATATTATCCTTAATTCCTATTTCCTACTATATAAGCTTGCGGCACACTATCACATGCAATAGGTCGGCATGCATTGCTAGCAGCTGCATGCACGAGAAAGAATCCCGGGAAGTCATTAACAAAGGGCACCTAAAGAAGTTTCTTTACAAATACTTTAGGAATTTTCTGTTCATCATGTAGTTGAACAATATTGTACGTATACTTTGATTTAAATTTAGCCTGCATTACTAGCTTTTGAATCTTACTATTTATATGTTAATGCGCAAGGACAAGGTACACACATATTTATTAAGAATTCGTCATGCATCTTTCCTGATTGCGTGTAAATTATATATCACGCTAGTGAGCTATATATACACTAAATGTAACATATCTTTTTATGTTCAATACCGTACCACCAACAAGGCACAGTTTATTTATATATCTTTTCACAGTTAATGTAGTGACATTTAGGTAGCATACAAAATAACCGTGCATCCTGGAACTACAACAGATTTATGTCAAAACATGAAACAAGCAAACCGACCATCACTACTGTTGCAAGACAAAACCATAACATATATACCAGCTTCGCAACTCGCAAGTTAGATTGTTATCCTCCCACCATATCATAAAGTTTCCAAAGTATTTTTGCCTTAGAAAACTCAAAATCAAAATATAACTTAATGTTACCTGTAAAAATAAATGTGTCAGTAATTCCAGTTCTTGTCCAATAAGAAAAAATCCATATTTAAAACAGCGTTGTTAATAAAAAAAAAAACCGAAAAATTTAGTGAAAAAAAAGGACTGATGACATCGTAATAGACATGCAAATATACACCGTGAACACATTTCCTTGATGTTAAGTTTGACACTAATTAACGAAAATGTCACAAAATGAGTTATCTAGCAGTAACACTTAAATATTGCAAAGCTTGATCAATTTATTCCCTTTCAAACTGCTTAATAACTTTGTCCCTTTAAATTAGTGTTAGAATGTGTGTGCACTTACTTTTGCGGGGAGCATCTGACAATGATTTGCGTCTCATTTCTTTCCTGGCAAAATCATGTTCATAGCAATCTATAATTCAGAAAAAGCTGATACAATAATAAGAAAATTACTAAGTAAATATTTAGTAATAAGAAACAGACCCACGAGCTTTTGTAAGATTAATTCTAAATCACATAGGTGCTAATTCTGCCAAACAATGGAGAGCCAGGGAAAGAGATGGAAAACAAGGATAAAAATTTTAATCCATACAGAAGGAGTAATACATTTGTTCTTGAACTTTATTTTATGATCATCCTCTCTAGCCCCATCATATGCCGTAATCAGTCTCAGCTGTTCGTGGTGATCACAGTGAAATTCTAGCTAAACCCTTACAAATCTATGGCGCGTGCCTTGTCACATGCATGGAGTAGCTGGGATCACGGAGCGGTCTCGTGCTTACTAACTTACTAACTAAAACGAACAACAATTTTTTTTCCTTTTACATAAATTAAATTAATCGATGGAATTCATAAATATGCATACAGGTAAATGAACTCTAATTGGATTAACTTATTCTAATCGGTACCCACAATGGTTTGTCAATAAGGTATGTATAGCTGAAACCAAATACATTCAAATACAAAATAAATATATCCATCTCATATGTATAGCGTTGCCATACTAACAAACGTGCACGTACTCACCCTGGCTGAAAGCGTATAAAATATAATGTGCTTTAGCTGCTTGAGTGATTTCAATATAGCTCACACATTAAGTCATATAATATACGCATAGAACCAACAATGTAACATCTGTGAATGGAACAATTACGAGGAGCTTCAAGATTCAAGAACAAGGGCTACCCTTATCTTGTTGGCTACGATTGTTGTTGTTGCTATCTGAATCCAAAAGCTTGGAACTAAATGGTGCTGCTGGGAAGGGTCTGACAGGTGAATTGAATGAGTGAAGAGATGGAATGAGAGGATGAGGCAAGAGTTGAGAACCTGAGTTCAAGAACTGAATATGGTTGAATTGTCTAGGATCATTGTCCACTGAGTTGGTCATAAATGGAGCATAGGTAGTGAAGAGTGATGGTGTGGCAGCAGAAGATGGACCAAACAATAATTGGGAACCACCAGATGATGGTAATGGCAAAGAAGATGGGAATGGCACACCATTGCCACCGCTTGGATTCGGATCTACCTGGGAAGGAAACAATCCATGGCTTCCAAATTGGGATAAGGAAAGACTAGAAGGTTCAGAATGGTAGGGATTATATGACATGGCATTGTTTAACATACCAACAGGTAAAGGAGAGTAGTGAGGAGTAGTAGCAGTAGTACCCATTGGAAAAAGCTTCTGAGTTGAAACTTGCAAGCTGTTGAAACCACCAACACCATCTTGATTTATTTGCTCATTTGTTTTGATCCACTTGCCTTTCTCAACTTCCTTGCCTTTTACTCTTGATATTGAATCTATATTATCCCAATACCTTGGCCTTGCCATGAGGTTTTGAATCCCGCCATCCCTTACAAATGTGGAGTTAGCATCACAAAAGGGTCCAAGAGAAAGATGAGAGGCACTTGATTCATGAAAAGGGAGTAGGGTTTGTTGATGATGGAATTGAGAAAAACCCTGAGGGAATTGAAGTGGAGGGAGCTTGTCAATGTCAAATTTACTGGCTTCAATCAACCAATCTATTACCTTGCTTGGTTGGTTGAGCCCAAGCTTGTCTTGAAGATCGTATAGCTGAATTGCTGTGGGAACTGAGAGCCTAATCCTTCTGTCCCTCAACCCTCTTATGGTGCAAACCTTGCTATGTCTATCTTTTCCTCCAAAAGAACGTGATACTCTCACAATTCTTGGATTTCTGAACCCTGACCATTGTCTGGAAGTGGATGATGCCTTGGAGAACTTGTCAATAATAATGGTGTCACCCTCTTGCTTGGCTTGATAACCTTCTCTTGAACTTGACATCATCATTATCATCATCTGTTCATCTTTCTCTTCACATCATTTATTTTCCCCTTGAATTGCTTTCCTCCTCTATATATGGCGCTAGAGCTGCAAGCAAACCCTCTGACAAACAATGAAAAAATTTATCCATCCCTATTAGAATTATAAACCTTTTTGTCTTATTATTATACAGTTTCTGTTGTAAAATTTACCATAAGATTATACAAAATTTGTTACACGCTTGACAATGAATCACTCCCATTATCAGTAGCTGGTACATAATAAAAAAACAGATTTAAAAATTAGAGAGCAAAAAGGTTCACAAAAGAGGTAGTTTCCAAAAAAAGGATTATCTATACTGAAATCAGTTTATCTAGCTCCATTTGAGAACTTCCACTGTTGTTGAAGTCTTATGGTTCTCAAAAATTGAAGTGAAGGATATGCAATTTCACTCGATTAATATTTATGAAATCAAATTTGAAGAGAAAACCATAGCCTTGGTAGTTGGAAATTGTACAAATATATAAGACAGGATTTCAGCGAAAGCATTAGAAAATGAGAAGCATAAGGCTTAGGTTAATATTGTAATCACGAACCAACTTACGTGAGAGAGAAAATGCTGGATGCTACTGGTTATTCTGTTCTATGCCTTCCACCATAACCTAGAAAGAGAAGAAATGAAAGGAGCAGGAATAGAAATACCCTAAAATTAAAGCCTTTTCCAAAATTAGAACATAAATGTTAATTATTTGAGCAGATGAAACCAACCTTAGATTTCAACTTATTCATTCAAAGGGAATAATTCACTCTGCAATTGAGAATTTTAGTAAAGAAGAGAAGTTTGAATTTTACGGCATTCTTATTATTGCATGTAAATGTAAAAGGTAAAGTTATTGAATACGTGGCATCCTCTTGAAGTGACACGTCAAACAAACTACCAATGGTAATTTCCTCGATTTGTTCATACCACATACTGATCAATCACTTGCTTAACTAATGATTAACTGTTATCAATATAGTTATTCAATTGAGTGTTGGAGAGCACACTAGATGCAAGGTTGAATATTGGACTAAGCACTGCCGGCCCAAAGAGAGAAAGATAAAAAGAAAACACAGGGAAAAAAAGACCTTAAGTCCATTTATAACTTGATTTTTTATTTTAAAAGAAAAGGTTTGCAGTTTTTGTGCAACCATACATATATCTTTATCAAGAAATTCCAAATTAAAGGAAAGAAAGAGAATTCCACATAACATCAATAAAAGAATTAATGCATTTCTGATAGTAGGAAAGCAAGATCACATGCAAGAGCGAAATCTAAGCATATTTATAAGAATTAAATCCTTTTGGTGTGTTAAACGTTGAATTATTTTAGAATTATTCATATATCAAATATTCTTAATTAAGGTGATAAGAGTAAGATATGCAGCCAGTTACAGAAAGCTAATTTACTAAACTATGGAAGAAATTCAACTAGAGAAGTCATAATAACTTTCAAAAGGTGTGGTGTATGGTATTTGAGTGTGCATCAGTTGGATTAGATGATAGATCATAGGTAGCTGCGCTATAGATGAGGGACCAACTTAGGTTTTTAAAAGCATCCACTCAACTCATAGAAAGAGGGACCACAGGCAGATGGCAGTGAGATTTGCACGGCACAAGTTGGAAGATCTGACTTTCATTATTCTGTAACAAAAATATACAAGTTTGGTTTAGCCATCTAATTGCGTGTGTTTTATTACTTCATTAAGATGCATGTGTTTCTCCAATAAGATGCATATATATTGCTAATTGATCAATATGTGTTAGAAAGCACCAAGAATTTGAGTGCCCGGATTTGACTCGATAACTTGAATAATTTGGCATTCTAAAGTCTCCAGTCTTTCCCATTTAAGTAGTTGTTTTGCAGAGGTCTTTAAATATTTGGAGTAATTTGTAGGCTGCCAAACATGAAAAAACCTAACAGACAATTATTGCTCCTCTGAAAGAGTGATATTCAGATTTTTGTTACACTCCAAATGGGGCTTGATCAAGAGGAAATAGGTAAAAATGGGTTTGTACTAGATTAGAGTTTCAGCCCAAGATAACCCTAGTTAAGTGACATAGAAAGTTGTCAAAAGGAAAAGGAAAAACTATAGATTTAATTTTCGTACACAATTCTGAATATCTCAACAAAAGTTGTTACAGTGTTAGCTGGTAATTAAACACTGTGCTTTTAAGAACAAGAAACCTTGAAAAGGTTGTGCTGTTCCGCAGAGTGAGAAAGGGTAAGAGCCTGCAGATTTTCCTTCAAAACTAAGCAATATGTAAGAAAAAAAAAGATAATTGGAATTTTCACAAAATAATTGAGAAATTCATCTCAGGACACTGTAACTGCAGTTGTACTTGCCAAAAGCTGAAGCTACTTGATATAGATTTAGCTTCAAAACCTAAATGAATTAAACCCTATGAACCCCGGAAACCTACCAACAATACAAGCATTCAAGGTGAAAATCATTTCAGCACCCAATTAGTCTTATCTATATATTCTTTAGACAAATCATATGAAATTGAAAAATAAAAAATAAAACCCTAAATTTCAAATAAAAAAACAAATAACTGAACTTTTCGTCCTTTGAAAAGATGGCTAATTACTTATAAATGCTTGTATTTTTCCTTTTACGAAAACAAAATGATTATGAATTTGACGCACTGTTATGTATGTTGCTCAAGGGTTTTCTGTGTTTATGTATTTATCTTTCCGTCAGCGAGCTATTGCTAAAGAAGTGTTGACCACAACGAGACAGTATCTGATTGGACTTGGTTCGAACGATACACAGAAACTGTATATTCAAGTTTCAGATAATTGGATAACTTTAAACGAATTAATAACCCGTCATAGTGAAACTGGATTTGGAAAAATTATACATGGATCTTAGTAACATTAGTAACTCATTACTTGAACCCATTTTTATAACAGTTATTATGCATGTTCTACACATGTAAAAAGCACAGCTTGTACGTAGCTTAATCTTTAGAAAATTTGACGAGTTTGATTCCATGTTAATATATTATTATTTTTTACTAATTTATAATAGCCTATTTCATATTGTTGCAAATTCTAATATAATTAATAATGGTAAAGAAATTTTATGTTAATAATGAATCAAAATTGAATACATAATATTCAAACAGATTGAAAATGTTGTTAGGTACGGTAAATGTGTGCTGATTTGGATACACTTGCACGTAAAACATGAGGATGAGTTGTTCTTATTAGTTTGAGAAATTGCTTTAACGAAACCCATATGTATAATAGTTGTCAAGCATTAACTAGTGTGATATATAGTGCTTATTAATTTTAGTTTACACAACACTTTAATTAAAACTATATATATATGTATATATTCTCACTTTTGTATTTAAATATCTCATTATTTTAAATAAATGAAATTTACAGGTAAATACTATTTTAGTCCTTAAATTATTAGTATCGATTGATTTAATCTTGAAGCTTTAAAAAATTAATAACTAAAGCAAGTTATTTCATAAAATTAGAAGATAAAATAATAATGAAAGGAAATAAGATAAATATATAGCAGTGGATAAAGGGTGGGAATTAAGGGAAAGAAAAGAGAGGAATTTGCTTTAATGTAGAACATGGTCGTTGCATTTTCATGAAAGATGCAAAGGGAAAACGGTATATGATGGATGATGATCGGCAGTGTGGTCTGGGTGGAGAGTAACTCTCTAATGAATGAATGCATATTCCATCGCCATCGCTACTGCAAGATATTCACAGCATAATGACCCATTAATAAATGTGTGCGCTGACAGATGGATGGACTGAGATAATTAGAGAGGTTGTGAGGAGTAATTAACAAATTCCCATTGTCGGTTGGAGAAATGTGTATCGATATATTAATAAGATGATAAATGTCAACAAACATTGCCATATGTTAGTCTTTTTTTCTTTCTCTGTCGATTTCTTTTGCATCTGCTGCCAAGCCACGCAGTAATTGCACTGTGCCGCAAAACTGCAAAAGCGACAGGGCCAAACCTTCCCACGACATAGGACTCACTGGTTACAACATTTGTCAAGATATAAAAGAAAGACAAGTCAAAGGTTAACTCAGTTTTAGTGGAATTAGCTGCTCAACATATCACTGTTTGTTTATATTTTTTTTATTGAATTATTTTGGTTTAAAATATGTAATATACCTTTTTATTGTTTCAAAAATAAATTAATTTAATTAAATAATATACGATTTCTTAATTTAAAATTTTTAGAAAATATATTTAATATTATTTAATGATTTAATAAAATTTACAAGTCAACAAATTAAATATGCATGTGTATTTGTTTATATTTTTATGTTGAATTATTATAAATTATTATATTTTAAATATAAAAATATAAATTTTAAAAAATCATAATATACAATGTAGACACACACACACATATATATATATATATATATATATATATATATATATATATTTGTTTTTATGGTTTCATGACCATAAATGGTCTGAAAGAATTAAATCTTATCAATTTATTTATTTGTTTTTATTTCAATATAAATATAAATATGTAGAACATAAGATGATGATTTTATATGAATTATACATAAATATATAGATTATATGGATAGATATATTGTTCAAAATAATTTTATAAGAAAAATAAAATTATAAATATACATTTACAATACTTAGAAGGAAAACTTTGGTGCTTGTAGTAGATTTACTCGACTTAAACACAATTATCTCTAATAAAGAATATATGTGGTCTAAAAAAAATATAAATATTCACATAAATCATTGCATTAAAAAATAAATTTAAATTAAATTATATATACTATATGCATGTGAATTTTATTTTATAATGTAGTTAATTTTCCATATAATTATTGATTTAAAATAACTTCGTCAAAAAAATTTACAAATTACAAATAAAAAATAAAAAAATATTTTTTTTATCAACTTATATGCAACATATAACTAAGCATTTTATCAATTTTATCTTTTTATTTATCATATTAGTTTCCATTATTTTTTAAATATGTTTTGATAATTTTTATAAATTAAGTTTAATTAATATCATTATTTTTATGCTTTTTAGATAATTTTAATGAAATCAGTAGTTATAAATTTAATATAAAAATTACTTAATTTTATCATATTAATTCTAATATATTTTATAAATGTTAATAATTTGTATGAAATGTGTCTAATCATTTGTCAATATTTTTTTAAAAGTTTTTAAAAAATATCATTAATAACAAAATAAATATATTTATTTGTACTTTTTTTTATTATAGTAGTTCTCATTTTTTATTTTTAAATAAATTTTTATATTTTTATAATTTCATTTAATTAATTAATATTTTTAATTTTATTTTTCAGCTAATTTTTATGAAAAAGAGTAATCATAAATTCAATATAAAAATTATTTAATTTTATATGTTAGTTTTAATATTTATTTTATAAATTTTAATTATTTTTATGAAATATATCTAAATCAATTCATAGTACTTTTTTTAAAGTTATTTTTGAAAAATATGAATGATTATAAATCTTATTAATTATGAATTTTTTTATAAATAGATAATGTGCATATCATGACTGTTATAAAAATATATCATGACTGAATAAAAATAACTAAAATTTAATACTTAATTTTTTATTAATTATATTTTATTTATCATCAATATGTTTAAAATCTTTTAAAAATTATAT